CGTGCTCCGTCCCGGCTTTGTAGGGATGCGAGGTCAATGGTCTAACGACTACGGCATGCACGACTATGAGTACACCCTCCTGTTTCTCCCTTCACTATGGCGACACGCGTTCAAGAGCCTGCCAAGAATGCATTTATTATATTGCGATACGCGTGTGCGTTGAAGATGACACTTGACTTCCATAGCGCATGTGGGTTGTATGTGTCCCACGAAAAGGTGTGTCAAGGAATTTCTCGACTTCTTGAGGCGCCTCTCTGCCCCGCACAAGTCTTGTGCAGAGCGTGGTGGGAAGAAGGCCCGAAAAGTTTGCGGCATCCCTGCAAGTGGCAGAAACAATGCTGGGGGCCAATCCTGAAAGTCTTGCGTGGCGGCTGGTAGAGTCGGTTGGAAAGGAATAGTTTGTTGACACACCTCCCTCCCTCTCCAACCAATTAACGCCTGTTTGGTCGCAATTGAACACTTGCCTCTCGTCAGACGCCTTGGCATGAGCGGAGGGGGCTCCTGCGAGTCCTGTGGACGACGATAATCTCGCCGTTCGGAAAGGTCCAATTCTTTCAGGGCTACGTCGGCGACATCCTTACTAGGCACGGCGGAAGTTAGTGCTGTCTGAAACGTCGATAGTATGGGGAAGTCGATTTCACGCTATGTAGTGAAGAAGAATCGGAGACACTATGTATGTCCACGACCACAACGACGAGTGCTTGCTAAAGGCGAATTAGATATGAAATACAAGGCGTCCCTGCCGGACGTGGGTGTCAAGCCTCCCGCGGGTGACGCAAAACCACGAGTCATATTACGCTCGCATGAAGTGCAAGCTATAGCGCACGTACATTGGAGCCAGCTCGAGCGGACAGCAACTTGGCAGCGAACAACAAATGTATATTTATACCGCAAATGAGCCAGAAGCTGGTTCGGCGATTTTCTCTTCCGATGGCAGAATTCCGAGGAGAACCGAATTTGTTGGTATCCGAAACAACACCACAAACACAACATGTTCAACACTGCACGTGTGTGCGCTCAGACTTGTCTACGGCAGCTGCGCTTTTCGCTGGGCCCGCTGCGAAGTGTAGGNTAGCGCACGTACATTGGAGCCAGCTCGAGCGGACAGCAACTTGGCAGCGAACAACAAATGTATATTTATACCGCAAATGAGCCAGAAGCTGGTTCGGCGATTTTCTCTTCCGATGGCAGAATTCCGAGGAGAACCGAATTTGTTGGTATCCGAAACAACACCACAAACACAACATGTTCAACACTGCACGTGTGTGCGCTCAGACTTGTCTACGGCAGCTGCGCTTTTCGCTGGGCCCGCTGCGAAGTGTAGAAGAGCAATGGTGCTGTTGGCCATCGCGATGACACGAAGAGACAGCGATGTAGAATCATCGAATGAATGAATGGACGTGGAGGTGAAGAGCAATGGGCATATTTTTTTTACACGCATATTTCTCGGTACTTCGGCTGCAAGCTGCAAACTCCCGGGCGGCAACAGATGTTCAGCCCGATCTTCCACAACTAGAGGCAATGGTACAAGCTTTGAAGAAGCACCACAAGTAGGGATTGTATGCGAAAAGTTATTCTCCGGAGTATGCTCTGTGATCAGGTTTTGCCGGCTGTCGATCAGTGGTAGCGAGAGATGTGGTCGAAATGTATGCATGCGGGCCATTTTTCCCTTCAATCGTTGAGATTGCTTCAAGTGTTGACCCGCCAGGCGTCGTCGTCGCGGAACACGTCCCCGGGGTATAGAGCCAATTTTCGCGACTTTGACCGTCAAACACACGCGCCATAGAGGCCTAGCGAGCTACGGGTATGAACGATAAGGTGCCGACGAGCCTCGTGCATGCACCTGAAAAAGAAACCCGAGAAAAGACTCGCAGCCGGCAGAGAAAGAAATGCTAATGCACAAAAAATGACCAAATCTTGTACGACCGCACATAACATATATAGGTTAGAGTCCCGAGCATGTTGTTTTTTGGTTGGGGAGGGGGGGGTGTACTCATAGTCGTGCATGCCGTAGTCGTTAGACC